AGAGACAACTCTAGATGCTTCAATTGCTGATTAAGGATGGGTTTGTCCCACTTAATATGCAATGCCTCTTTGATCTTAATTTTGTATTTCGAAGCGGCAGAATCTAAAATGGTGAAACATTCTGTACCACAAGAGTCGAGACAGGCCTTTGATGATTGTAGGTGCTTGTAAATGTGTGAAGTTTTGTCGGACAAGAGGTGCTCACGAACCCGTGTACAGATGTGGCGAGTGGTCTCACCAATATAACTGGCATTACAGCCAGCACACGAAAATTTATAAACGACACGCGAACGTAGACCTGGTGGTACTGAATCTTTCACACTGAACAAGTTTCTGAGCTTAAACGTATTGAAGACTAACTTAATATCTAAATCAGGTCTACAATAACGTTTCAGTAGATGCCTTAACTTGGTTTGAGCGATGTCAGAAAACCGCCCAACATAAGGAAGTTTAAAATAATGCGAAGAAGGGTTTCCGGAGTCAAATTGTAACGTAAACAATATGACGTAATTTGTAACGTAATCTCATATAAATTCAAATGTACAACCGTTAAAATCGCATTTACAACTGAAGATGACATAAGAATGTCGAAACATGTCTTGCAAACTAAAAGTTGTGGTTTCTTTATTAAGAATTATTGCCACTCTGCTGTCTTTACGTCCTTTTGGTAATATTAATGTGGTAAAGAACGAAAATGTCGAATTACCTCACTCATAGGTATTTTGAGGTAGATTATGTGTGTTTTGCGAATAAATGTAACCAAAAATAAACTGTATTGGTGCCACGGATACCTGTTAGTAAAAAATGCAGACAGCAGACTGCAGACCGGATACAAAATATAGACTGCAGACTGCAGAGTGGGTACAAAATGCAGACTAAGAATCTGAAGAGTTTTTACGTCTGGTATATAATAACATGTCATCTTACAGCTTACCGCACGTCACGCAATCGCTTTTCTGCGATCCCCCTTCACGATTATTTGCACTATTGTGGAATATTCCTGGCCCATTTCTTGATGAAAATCGTTTGCAATATTATTTCAAGCCTTCAATATAGTCTTCTTACTTTGCGCGCGAGTTGGTTGGTGTGATGTCTGTACAGATTTTATCAACGTAATAAAAGTAGATGACGTGAATAACAGTGATGGTAAAGCAAGCTTAAAACGGCAGAAATCGCCAGAAAATACAACGGATACACAGGGTATGAGTAAGTTTTATTGATTTTACGAGAAAATGTTTATATTTCGAAATATTTATCGTTGTAAATCGACCTTACTTCGTTCCCTATACTATTCCTTATAACGTGTTCAAATCTCCAACAGTTCCTCTCGTAACTTAACACCGAGTCACACAACGCGTGACGCGTTCATGAATTAATCGTTGGCTTTTTATCGAGACGTGAGCTTGGGCCGCCTGTGACAAGACAATTGCGTAAACAATATTTAACATAATAACATTATACATAAAAAAACACAGGGTTTTGGATCACTTATTTATTTAAAAAAAATATCCATACAACTACAATGAAAACGAACATAAGATTCACCTTTCTGATCGTGAAATTAATACCATTCGTACTGTTATCGAAGCTACGTTTCTTGCCATCAAGTGAATCCAACATGTCGTCTTTCTTCACAAGCAGTGTTGTACCACAGGTATCCCAGTAAAAAAAAAAAGACGACAAAAAAACAAAGGCATTTTATGACTGGGCTACCACAGGTATCCCAGTAAAAAAAACAAAGGCTTTTTATGACTTGGCTACCACAGGTATCCCAGTAATTAACTTGCAATTGAGTTAAGTCCAAGGTAGCTTAAAGCGACTTTAATTTGTGGGAAAAGTCAAACGCGGGAGAATTGCGTGGAAAACTCAATATCAGTAGCATTTAGTTCCATGTGAATTTTTTTCAGTGGGGTTGGAAAATGCAGTTAGAATACATGATAAAATGTAGGTTGTTTACAAGAAATTGACACGTGATAGAGCGAAGTCCAATGTGGCTCAATGAAATTTGATTGGTAGAATATAATTTAAGCACGTGAAAAATTGCCTAATATTTATGTAGTGCAATAATTAAGTATGTTCTGATTGGACTTTGGACGTTTTTTTCTTGGTACGTGATGGAATGTAAGTTGTTTGGCGTGTGTGTTGCGAGTAAAGGAGAGGAAAAAACACTTTTTACCTTAAAAATTTAAATGCGTACCTTTCATATTACGATACATCTCGACCTTAATCGACGAGGCTCTCGCGAAGGCCAGAAACCATTGCACTTATCAAATGAGCCCAAAATTTCTGGTGAATGTCATTCTTTGTGCACAGCCCCATGATCCATGACATCATTTACAAGAAAATAATACCCAAACACTGTGATTGGTGCAAGATATTCAAATGCTATGATATGATTGGTGCGAGATACATACCCTAATGCGGCAATCTGATTAATGCGAGATGTTCCGTAATGCGGCGATCTGATTGGCGCGAGCAACATACCACTCTATACGCTAACATAGAGTTATTTAGAAAAAAAAAACTAAAAAATACGAGTTATTTAACCCCTAACACACTAAAGTTAGTATACATATTCTCCGTACTGTTCGCTACACATTTTTTAAGGTTTTGATAAGGAGAATTTGTTTAACAATCAAGAGCGTAACTGAAATGTAACCAACGTGTGTTAGTGGAAGGTCTGGGTACAAGACTACTTCCTCGGTCATTATCGTGACCTTTATATGTGATTAGAGGGTGATTTGTGAGGAGAAATAAGATGTTAGTCACTCTTATGAGTCAAAGGATAAAAGAGCATCTATTAACGTTTTCCAAGATTTCAGTTGAACAAGCAGACCCTGAGGATCATGAAATAGAGCGCTGGTCGATTGATTCGGTCGTGGCGGATCCATGACAAAGCAATCAAAAAAGTCAATGAGAGGAAAATAACTAAAGAAGTCAATCAGAACTCTAAATACAAAGAACCGAAAAAAACGGGAAAAGGAGAGTGATCAAGTCGCGATGCGTTTTAGTTTTTTCAGTGCATCATAATTATGAAGGTTTGAATGGGAGATTTAGCAATCACAACCCTTGTAAGTGGAATACAGCATTAGATACGGCATTTGCGTCATCATTTCTCTTGATTGTGTTTAATCTTAGCGTTTACTCCTGATAGCGCGATTTTAGCCAAGTTTAATTAGTGGTTTATCTATGTCAGATAAAATTTCCTTTCAAACCCTTGTAATCTACGTTACTTGATACTTCACATGTACACTCAGTCAACTTCCGCTCGTGTTCTGCTGTTTTCCCATATCAAGGTCGATTAGGTCTTCCATCCTCCATTGAAGTTGGGTGGGGCTGGGAAGGGAGCGAGCGCAGGCTCGTTTTCTGAACAGCGGCTGGTTAATCGTGCTTAGCCTTGTTTGCATGTAAAACACAAACATAACTTGGAATTACAATTTTTTAAATCATTGACTGAATTCTTTAAAAAGTGTGTATTTCGTGTGGTTCTGAAACCATTGTTGTTTTTTTGTTGTTTTGCGGTATAAGGATTATTTTTTGCCTCTTTAAAAAATTTTCTGCTTTACATAATTTGGTCATCTCGGCACCCGCAAATTGTCATGTTTTGTCTGCGTTTTGTCAAAAATATGTTTTGGGTCAATTCGATAGCAATTCCATTACGTTCGTTGAATCATACAGGATATGATAAAATCAACAAAAGGTAGCGTGCAAAGTAATATAAGAGAGAAATATTTGCGATTTTCGATTCATGAGCAGGGAAGTTTATATCAAGTTTTTGTAGGGGACATCTTATTAAATCCATGATTACATGGTAGGTGGGCAGGTTACACGAGTGCTTCAACTAGTCCGATTCGGTTGGAGAAGGAATTGTTTTCTTAATTTTTCAGTCTTAAGTTAAACTTGAACTAAAATTTTCAAATATGTCACAATATAGTGATAATTTGTCATTGGTGTTTGCGAAAGAGGAAATAAAAACAAACTAATGAAGATAACTAGAGAGATAGTTCTAACTACAAAAATTTGGCAGTTTCGAATGCGGTTCGTTCTACTCACTTTCTGCGTTGAAAACGGTAATAAGTATATTAATCTGTGCTTTCGGTGATTCAAGGTGATGACCACAATAAAGGACGGATATATTATATAGCGAAATTAAAAATATGTTATGTGTTCTCTGAAGTTTTGTTTCATCTGAAGAAAGCTTTTATCATTGAATATATCTGTGCGGTTGAGTAGTGGAAAGTTAAATTGTACACAGGAGACTCGCAAAGATAAAAATAATCTTTTAATCAAGGACGAAAAAGGCAGTGTCAAAAACGATCACAATGAGCAATATGCAATACGCTCTTTTATTATGAAGTTCAAAGTACATAGCCACTTTATCTTATGGTGCTTGCAGAGAAAAGTGAAATGGAGTCCTGGAACGCAGTCCAGCTTTGCTCTTGGAAGCTCTCGAAGCGTGAAAAAAGATTACTTTCGAATGGTATGTTCCAGAATTTCTACTTTCAATGAAAAGTAAACTTCTTGATAACACGCACGTACCGTCACTTGAAATCCTCTTTAAAAAAACCGATATAGCCCTCTGTAGCTGTGCACTGATTTTCCAAGGTATTCTGCAATACTGCATTTTTGTATAGCAATTAATGAACTAGAGTGTTAATTATTTGGCATGGTAGGTTTTAATATTTCCTTACGAGTGGACTTCAAGTCTCTCCAAGGAATAATCCCAGGATTTCCAAATGGTATTCCGTCTTCCAATCTCAAGATAAATTCTGTGCATGCTCTTCGAGGATCCCTTTTATTTATCAGAACCTGCAATTTGTTTTTAGAAGTGTTTGCTGCAAAGCTGACTCGCGTGGTTATAACTTCACTGAAATCACCAGAAAAAAAAACAAAACGCATGAGCACCATCACCTCACTAATATTGGCCTACAATGTTGGCCCAGTATTTTTTGGAGGCCTGTTGTGGGCTTAAAATCGGCGAATTTTGCAATTAGCCATAAGGACGATGCTTATGGTGACTGAGTAGGTTAAACATTTCGTCTTTAGATCTGTGATGTTCAGTTCTAACTTGTCTCAACATGGAGAGACGACCTCTAGAGAACTTGAATCACGATGAATTCAGCTTTTTTTCTTTTTGAACCGGTAAGACTGAGAACCCTGAACTTAGTTGTCTGATTTGTCGTATTGCTCTATCATTCATTAATGGCCACTGATGAAGGTGCTCATTACAGTTTTTTGTCTGCCAGCTTACTCCACAACTTGTCGCGGGCGTTTTTCAAGGTGTTTAGTATCGGCTGACATTTCTGACTCATTTAGCCTCCTTATAAGAATTGAACAGAGGATTACACAACAGCTTATATGGAGCAAAGAGACCTCATCTAGATGAATACCAAGCTTCTTTTTTTTAATTTATAAAGAAATTTAGAATGGCTATCTGGAAAATTGAAAGTCGGATCCTGAGAGTTAAAGGTTTTAACAAAGAATAAATGTGATTGTTGTCGTGAATCAAACAAACATGTCGTGTAAATAATTCAATTGAATTTTGCTGGAATCTGCATCATGCAGACTGTGCTTTGTGTTATCTTCAAATTAACGTCAGAGAAAACTGTCATTTCCCATGTAAAATTCCTTAATACGCAAAAGGGGTAAAAAATGCAAAAACTCCGAAGGACGGTCCAATTTCATCATAAATTTATGCTAAACCTTTGTAAGGAAGTTGGGAACTTATTTGAACATAACAACCTACTTTCCGTTAAATTAATAATCGACACTGATGATTTGAAAACAAATACAATTAAATTTTGTCATAAAATGTTGTCCTAACTAAAGCAAGTTGTTTGTTAACCAAATTTAACATGTTCCTGCCTCATGACAGACCACTTAGCCTTTACTCGTCAGAAATCCACTATTTTTAAAAATGTACAATATCGGTTAAATATTGGCTAAACCTCAGGATTTCATGACATTTATATCCAATGTGATGCACATAAACTCTGATCTGTTTCAGCTGTTCGCAGAGCGAGCGCATCACAGCATTGAGCATCCACAAGACAGTTCTACCTTTGAAAATATGTCAGGCAAAACCAAAGATACTCGAATTAACATAACTTCCAATCCTATCTCGTCAGATTTATCTTCATCAGAGAGGAGTAGTTCTCGTTCAAGACCACATCGCCATCGCTTGTTACACAAAAATGGCAAAGTAAATTTGCGGCCCTACAGAGTTCCGCTGAAGAAAGAACGCTTTTTGGCAGATTTCTTCACATCTATAATTGACGCTAAGTGGCGATGGGTCATAGCGATTTACTCAGCTGGTTTCATCTTCAGCTGGTCGTTTTTCGGCACAGCCTGGTTTGCGATTTTCTGGCTCCGTTTGCACTACGATAATGGGACCGTTTGTGTGGACAATGTAGATTCTTGGACATCGGCTTTCTTGTTCTCAGTGGAAACTCAAACTACCATTGGTTATGGTGGACGACAGGTATTATTTTCTTCTTTTGTGCACTTTTTTTCAGTTTCGCTGTCCTCTAAAGGCACATCAAAATTCTGAGGCTGCAACACTTATGTCAATTTCAATGATTAATCAGTACTGCAAAGGTGAGCGAAGGGTAAGCGTCGGAATTGAAAAATACTATCTGTTGCGGTAATAGAAAACGGAAGAAGAAATGACTGACTCATCATTCAAAAAGTTTAGAACACCTTGCCTAGGTTCTTTTAAATCTAAAAAACCCCTAAAATGCTCTTAATTAGACAAATGTTAAATTCATCACGCGACTCTCGAAATTGTTTTTTAGGTCGTAAAACTAAGCAAACAGGTTTTATTACAGGACTCCAACTAATCATAGTGAAAAACTGACTGATAAAATAGTACAGCAGGTTTGAGATCCTCTTATATAATACGCGACGTGACTCCTGACTAATGATGATCAGCTTTTGTTGACTTCATACAAGCTTGGGAGCTCTATGGAATATTGGATAAGCAATCAAAATGACGTTTCTAATGAGTGGTATAACTTGATACTGGTTGTCGAGAGAAACATTCCGAGACAAAACCACGTCTCTCGTTGATGAAGGACAAGATAATTATTCGGTAAACTCTAAATTAGTGGAAATTAGGAAAGATAAAGGAAGACTTGATATTTAAAGAGTTTTTACTTTTTCATGTCGCCTGTGATTGATTAGAATTTTGAAAGCTAAAGACTGTTCAGAGCTAACTTTAAAAAAAAATTACCGGTTTACTTGTTGTGGCTAGGACATAGAAATATTGGAAGAAGTGTGAAAGCTTTTAGATAAGAAATGCGTATATTGTGATTCTATGCACAAATCAATACTGACCGGCTTGAGGTACTTTTAGCAATCTGGATGGTATCCTCTGACGAAGACATTTAACTTTATTTGGTGTTAAGAGACAAATCTGACTGATTAACTTTCTAGAGAACAAAAGTCATATCAATTACGAATATACTGAGTAAAATAAAAGAGGCTAGTGTCTCTATATTGAAATACAAAGATGCGTGATGACGTCAATAAGTTCTTATCGTGACGATTCTCAGCAATGTAAAATATTGCTTTGACAAAAAAGCCTCTTTCAACCAATAAATTTGCCTCACTATTGGAGCACAGTTTAATGAAGACTTTGTTTCCTTGCTAAGGAGCATATAAGTTACCTAGTTATTGTGAGAACTTAGGTAATTGCGTTAAATTAGCCTTCTGAGGCTCTTGGTAAGTTACTTGACGCGTTTACTAGTATTGCACACAATCGAGGGCTAATATAAAGCGGCAGGAGAAACTGTTTTTTTTAAGGGTAAGACGTGCTGCGGTTTTTTTTTTGTTGTTGTTACTCTCGCTGTTGTGAGCCGGGAAATTTCGCGAGGTAAATTGATTTCCAGCTTCAAAAGTTAAACGCTCTCAGCCGTCAGACTTTTGCTGAAATTTCACTCTTTAACCAACTTGTATACTTACTGCCTAAGCAGACTCTGTTAAACACAAGCCTAGCTAGCCTATTGACAATTTAGGTGGAGCAGTTTTTCCAGTACTGTAATGAGGAAATTTCGTCTTCTTAGACCGTTCCGTTCACGGACGTCTCTGAAAAGTCAGAGAAGCTTAGTTTTGCGCGTCTAACCTTTTCCTATAAGAAATCGGCAGAGGATGCTGATCACAACACTTTTTGTCGACATGCTGGTCACAACACTCTCCGAACACATCAATGGGGTCGGATCGACTGACACCAAGAAATGGAAATTTGGCTAACTTGAATGCTTCATACGTAGCGAAATACGACGGAACATGTGTGAACTCAATTTTCTATTGCTAACCAACTGACTGGCAATAAATAAAGATTTTTAACTCCAGTCCTATTTCGCCGAATTTTAAACTGTATTGACATAATGATTAGCTGGGAGCAATAAACTAAACACTGGTTTTATTTTTCCATCGAAGTCAAGCTTGTAGTTGTGGCTCTTACTAACCGAGATTAGACAAGCTGACCCTCTTCTATCTTATTTGAATTTTTCAGCGGATGCAAAAAAAAGTGTTCATCATTAATTTTTTTCTTTTACCGCAGATAACCCCACAATGCCCTGAGGCCGTGGTTTGTCTTCTGCTCCAGTCTCTCACCGGCTTTCTTTTGTCTACGTCACTGCTTGGCCTCGTTTTCGCCAAACTTTCCCGACCTCGTCCGAGGGGCCAAACGGTCATTTTCTCGAAGCACGCAGTCGTGGCGCCATACGATGGACTCTTGTCGTTGATGTTTCGGGTCGGCGACGCGCGCAAGAGCCAATTGTTAGATGTGGCAATATCTCTTCACTGCTTTTGCTTTCGGACCACAAAGACTGGGGAGGAAATTTTATTCTCCCAAACGGAACTTCCCATCACAACTGAGCATGGGAGCGAGGTCGGCGAACTCATCAAACCGTTTCTGTTACTTCCCTTGACAGTAGTGCATGTCATTGACGAGCGCAGTCCGCTGTACGAGCTTGGGCCGCAAGAGCTTGCGAATTCCCGTATGGAATTCATTGCTGTCTTAGAGGGCGTTGTGGAATCAACGAGCATGGTTACCCAGGCAAAGACTTCATTCTTAGCAGATGAAATTCGTTGGGGTCGGCGGTTTCTCCCAATCTCTCTGCATCGTGATAACAGAACAGACCTATCGTCTTTTGATGCAACATACAAAGTGAAAACACCTCAAACGTCACCCAGGGAATATGAGAGATCAAACCGAAAGATAAAACATCGAGAATATGAGAATACGGCGACAGAAAAGACAGAGGTGGAAACTGAAAATGGCGACTGTCATGTGAGTGTTGAGCCAATTAACGGTTCATCAACCGTGAGTTCAACCACCTATTGTCAGAAAAACTGTAACTGCGATGTCGCTCAGACATAAGATGTACAGATGCCCGTAAAGCAGGACATTTGCGGAGAACGCTGGTCCAGTCTAAGAAAAGACTTGATCGAAGCCGCATTGGAGGTCTTAAGAGTTAATAGCGTTAACTCTTTTTCAATCACTATTCCGTCAGGAATATCCAAAGGAGGCTCAGCAAAGGAGAGAGAGGCAACCCAGGAGTGAACGAAAAATTGCAGAAGGTCAATTGTCGCTCCTGGAAAAAGATGTTTCCCGCTTCAATGACTGCTTAAAAAATCCCTCTCGTCAAAACGTTGTTAAACGAAGGATAAAGAAAAACTGATAAAAATTAAAAAAAAAAGAAAGAATGAAAAGAAAAAAAGGAAAAGCTTGGAAAATCTTATGTGATAGTAGTGATTAACACGGAGAAATTGGCTTACCGTTTAACCCTTTGACTCCCACGTCAAACTTGTAATCCTTCTTTCTGTCAACAATACAAGTCTTATATTGTTAGTTCAGAGAATTTAGTATTGGATCAACTAATTATCCTCATATTGACATTTTTCTTTATTCTCATAACTTATCTGATTGATATTGTATTGATATTGTAAGGAGAAATTCTGTCTTGGTCACTCATGGGAGTTAAAGGATTAAAGAACAAGCAACGTACTCAAGTATTTAATCTGAAATTTTGTAAATAAAATTGCCTTGTATTATTGAAGTGATCTGCTTTCATTTCTAAACCATTCTTATTTAGTGAAAGACATTTTTCACTCTTTATATTGCAATTATATGAACAAATTTTGTTGCTTATTTCTGGAGCGAATGTTTTGTAATACGAGTGAATAATTTTTGTTTCGAGACAATTTAAGCAATCCTCAATTCTGATGTAAACTCTTGTTGTTAGCCGTTTATATATCTTAACTGGAATGTTTGAAAAACGATAATAAACATCAATAAAAGATTTCAGTTGACCAGAAAATGGTTTGTATCAATGTTTATCGCGAAGTCCGATTGTCCTAGTGAGAACCGGTCTTAAAACGACTGTTGTTGAGTTTGACAACCTGTGCGGAATTCGTCATCTGAGTCAAGTGAGAAGTGATGGGTCAGTTTTGTGCTGATGGGAAACTTTGGTTGTGATGCAAAATGTATCGCGTGATTTGAGCTCGATCGGGATCGATACGGGTGCAAAGTAAGTTCGTTCTATCTGGTTATTTGGTAATGTTCAATCTACTTTACGAGGATGCTTTCATGAGTGTTACGGAATAAATGACGAAGCCTCTTCGGCTCACCTTGATTTGCGCAATCTCTTTTCTCTTTTTTTCTCGCTCCGAGAGGCATGGGGGAGGGGAGTCGTGCCTTAAAGTCGGTAAGAGCCAATTCGATTGCCTCTACGTCGCCAAAAAGTCTTTTTTGCGTTGCTAGAAGTCGTATACAGAGTGCGTCGGTTACGAAAACTTTGTAGTAAGTTTTTGAACCATCATTCCAAAGGCAGTCTCTGATACGGCTACATTTTCGAACAAACACACTATTTACAATGGACAAAGTTAGTAGGAACCTGCACTGTTTGCAACTTTTGTCTAATTGGCAGGAAGACTTTAACCCGCGGCACAATTCTAAGAAAAAATTGACTCAAAGCCTCTGACATTTATTTCAAGTTCGGACAATACAACTTGGAAATTCTGTCACAAATGTTAAACCAAAATAACTTCTCTTCAATGGCGAATATATCATTGCATTTACATTTTGTTTGGCGTGCAATTGGTATTGAAACAAAAGCTAGCTCTGAAGCAATTCAACCGGGATGCAACCGAACAACTAATTTTCATTAACTCAGTTCATATTTCCTTGTCGGCCGATCTTTTTTTCCTTAGGCTATCCATTCTACTTACCTATCGTAACTCTACCCCTGATTGAGATGGAAATAACTTTGCTAAGCCCTCTTTGCATAAATCTGTTCCGATATTTTTACCTCTCATCACTTTATCCAAGAACGCTTTCCACAGCATTCATACTAGGATGCAAATAGTTCGCTTCACTTTGCGCGAGCAGGCAAAAATCCACAGCATGTCGCGCACGGTCTTTCCGTTGGGTGTAACAGCGATGTGAGTTGCTAATGTGAGCTACACCGGGTTTAGTCGTCCTCTTCGTTAGACCGATCTTCGTCCGACCGATCTTCGTCGAAAGCATACCTTCGATATTCTTCATCTACGAGGAAAAAAATGCATTTTTAAAATCTCTTGACATAAGTTATAAGTTTCTTGAGCAGTATTCATAACGTCCTTTCCCATGTTACACAAAAAGCTTCTTGTTTCTCTGCAATCATTACTTACTGTTTTTTGAACAAATTTCAATTACTGGTGGCTTGCAACAATTCCTGCCCCAAAAATTATTTTGTTATCAAGATACTTTACAGGAGATTCTTGTAAATGAACTTACCAGAATTAAATCCGTAATCTTCGTAATATCTTTTGTCCTGGGATGAATCTGACCATTGATCATCTTCGTCAGGATAATCATTTCGCCAGTTTCCTTCGTCTGAAAAATTGATTTAAAGCATCAGTGAAATGGATCCTGGTAGTTTGGTGTGAACACAAGAACTTAAAAAGTGTGGCAAAATTAGGGGAACAAGATGGAAGGCGAAAGGGAGGTTGAAGAGGTAATCAAACAAGATGAATTGTTCTTTAAAAACGAAGAAATTTTTTTCCAAAAAAAAAAATATTGCTCGTCGAAAAGCAGGGAAGTTATTCCAGGATATGATCTGATCCTTCCTAAGCAACAGAATTGTTACCACCCTTGCATGTAAGAGCATCAACAGTTTCTTCACTTCTTTTCTCTTTTTTTTCCCTTCTCCACAAACTCAGAAAGTCTTCTCGTTTAACGTGAAAAAGAACCTAGGTAAAACTTAAAATACTATCTACCAACCATTAGAATCATCTTCATCGTCATATATTTCACCAAAATCTTCATCAAGACTTTCATGAACAAGGTCAGCATCAAAAGGCAAAACTTCAACTCTAAGAGAAAAATATTTGTTTGATAATTGTCAGCCAGATACAAAAGGAAAGCCATTCTGTCGTCTGTCTGGAAAATTTTACAAAATTATATACATAATGAGATGATAAACATGTGAATGACACTAATACTTTGAGTGATGACTACTCAGATGAGGGGTTTTTGAAATACTTTCATGTCATACAATCCCCTAGAATGAAAGCTAACGAGCAGAACTTTTACACGTCGCTAAAATCTGTTGCATTAGGTGGTTCCCTCTTCTACATCTGTCTGTGGATGAAACCAAAGTGTGTGACCATTCCTCTGAAAGCTACGAACTAGTTCTTGCCTATGGCATTGTTGTTTATGACAAACCAAGTGGTTATAATTTCAATGGATGGGAGCTATATATGTAACCATTCTAATGAAAGCTACTGAGCATGACTTAACCCTTTAACTCTCAGATCAAATTTGTAATTCTCCTTACTGTTAGTAATACAATTCTTATAATGTTAGTTCAGAGAATTTAGTATTGGATCAACTAATTATCCCCAAATTGATATTATTTCTTTATTCTCATCACTTATCTGGTTGATATTGTATTGATATTGTAAGGAGATTCCAATAAACTGTCTTGGTCACTCATGGGAGTGAAAGGGTTAATTTCTTGAAGTAAGCAGTTCAAGTTTTCATGTGTTTGGATGAGAACCTAGTATCCATTCATTTACATCCCAAGGTCAGTATGCATTTTCTCCTTACTGTTCTCTGTAAATTTCCATGGTACTGACAAGGAGAATTTGTTTAACAATCAAGAGCCCCTTCAGATATTGATCATTTCTTTTATTCCTAGGACCCTAATGTTTGATCCACCAGTAATAATGTAAGGAGAATTTTGACACTTGTCACTCTCGGTGGTTACAGAGTTAAGCCTGAGAAAGAGCTTCCTTGTGCCTGTCCAAAAAAAATTGCAGTCCTGAAGACCTATAATAATATTATAATTTAACAGTCCTTTCCAAAGACTATTGAGTTTTAATGAGAAACTAAAGCATACTCCATCCTTTGTGTATGCAAATCTAGTTGTAGGTATATATGTTATGAAGTATACAGATTTTGGAAAATGATTAACAAAACACTCACATATCACCAAGCTGTCCAAGATTATCATTGGCATAATAAAAATCATACACATATCCATTTGCTTCTGATTTCTTCTGCTCGGTTCTTTCTTTTGAAGAATCTGTGAAATAATGATAAAAAAAATTTGTTTTTAAATATCCCATAGAGTTGCTCAGCTAAATAGCAAAATCATTACAGAGCTGGTAATTTCTATCAACTAAATTGACATAAAAATATCAAGAAACAAGAAAAAAGTTTTTATGATTCAGTTGATAATAAGGGAAGTCAGAACTAAACTTCACCATCACTTAGTGGCGCATGTCACACCCAACAGCTAATAGCTCATTCATCATGAACAAGAATTACACAGTAGTGCCACAGTAGTACATTGTAAATACTTAAGAAAGAAAGAGCAGCAATTGTAGTGTAAATCTTGTCTGAGGCAATCAAAACCATGCAGAGAATGACAAAAAACCAATTCTGCCATCATTAAGCAATGTGTGCATTATATACCATCAGTCACTGCCAACTTTTCTCGAATCATCTTAACTGAGTTGCAAAGTATTGCATTAACATCAGCAGCTTGCTGTGCCTTCCTTGATTTTCTTTCTTCTCGTCTCTTTTCACTGCATTAAGGAGGGTAAAGACAAAAGTATCTATTACATTGGTGAAATATAAACAAGGTGTTTATTGCCATCTCATTAGAAAAGCATTCTTAAACACTACTCCCATGTGGAAAATACAAGGCTCCAAACTCACAAATTAGTAACCTTACAAAATGAAATTGTTGGCAAAGATAAAATTTTGGTCACAAGACTCTTGGTGCAATATTACATGACATATACTAAACTGCCACACACACATCACATGACCTGCATTTATTTTGAAGATTTCTGAAGGCTTCATACTCAGGCAACTTAACACTTTACCTCCCAAGATCTCATTAGTTATTCTCCTTACTGTCTCCTGTACAGTTCTTGTGATGTTCATTTGGAGAATTTTGTTTTGGATCAACTTATAATTCCTTGAATGGTATTTTTCTTTATTCTCATCACCTGTCTGCTTGATATTGTATTGATATTATAAGGAGAAATTCTCTCTTGGTCACTCATGGGAGTTAAAGGAGGATAACTGGATGAGAAACATTTAATGGAAATGTTTTCCTCAATTTGATTTAGGCTTGAAAAGCTGTTTAACAAATGCTATAACTTGCCACAAAAGCCAAACCTTGCATACTCAGGTGGCAACAATGATGACTTGAGCAAGCTAAATTATTTAGCTGCCAAAATTTTTTCTAGTTGCTTTTATAATGGAAAACAAAATGGTTAGAGCACTAAGCACTAAAATATATGTTAACCTGCTGTAGAATTTTTTTCAATCATTCTCTTCACGACTGATGCAATATGGCATGTAAAATCAAGTTCAAAATCAATTGTCCATGATCTATGTTTCATATAATCAGAAAGAAAGGTTAAAAGATAATCCAGGTCTACTATGTCATGAAGAAATTTCTTCCCATAAAACAAAATATTTAACAAATCACATTGAAATGAACTCCAGAGAGAATCTCACCACATACCTCATTGATTCCTGATCTTTAACAAGGTCATATACACTTAGAAGCCTCTGCACCTCAAGATCAACATCATCAGCAGCTCCACCTGATGCAGCATCCACCTTGGTTAGGTCCCCTTTACTTTCTGGTTGGCTGTGTAGAAATACATTTTCTTAATAATAATGTGAACAAGATAACCAGTTCACACACTAGATTTTTTTTTGTATAAAATCATTATCAAAAGTGTAGAACAAACAAAGAAATGCAAGGCATGGATTCTTAAAATATCTTCTACTGTGGTCTTTTAAATACCTGTGAAATCTTACATTATATTCAATAAGAACTTAAGGAATCTTAATCCTTTAATTTCCAGATCAAAATTTTCATTCTCCTTACTGTCAACCATACAATTCTTATGATGTTAGTTCAGAGAATTTAGTATTGGATCAACTAATTATCCCCAAATTGATATTTTTCTCTATTCTTATCACTTATCTGCTTGGTATTGTATTGATATTGTGAGGAGAAACTCCGTTCTGGTCACTCATGGGAGTTAAAGGGTTAACAATGGATCAAGAGGATTATAATCATAATAAATGCAAAACAACATCTTTATTTCTACAACTGAATAGAAATGTGATGTAATACAACAGTAGAGGTACTATACCTGGTAGATCCATGTTCATTTTCCCTGTTTGAGGAAATTACTTTAAACCTGGCCTCCTGATTCAGAAGCTGGGGAAACATATCTTGTTGTTATGCTAATTACAGACTGATGTTCATTTAATATTTGTTTCACAATGACACAAATACATGGAAACACAACTTTGATTCAACTGGGAACAAATGCATCACTTTTATTGAGAAATGATGTGGATGAGAGTAATGTTAAGTAGCAGGATAACGTTCCCATCCTCTGAATAGATTGACTCAGACTAGTTAGACCCACCCCCAATAGGAAATTGACATCCAGTTAACATAACTATCTTTTGTAAGCTTTGCAAATTATAGAACCCTTAGGGTTGCAACATAAATAAAAAAAAAAGTACATCTTGTCATGGCGAAAAAAATGAGGAACTGATGATAAGGATACTGTTATTATTCAATTGGTGGTCCATAAGAAAGAATCAAGAAAAACTTTACCAATTTATACCAAAAAAGAAACTTATGATAAAAAGAGAAATTCTACCTTCTTCTGTTTCCGCAACCTGTCTTGTAAAGCTTGTTGAGTTTGGATATGGGATTTAGCCAAGTCTTCATGGTTGATAGACTGTTTAATCCTAGTCTATAGTGAAAAATGAATTTAAAAACATTGATTGATTTTCAAAAAATTTGTTCACAAAACTGAATAACACACAAAATTAACTCAGTGAAGTTTTCAAGGTAAACTCTTTCAACAATTTTCAGGAAAGAGATTTTTAAAAGCAACCTAAATTCTGCATGATTCCAACCCCCTGATTTCTCGAGTCAGTATAATACTAACCAGCAAATCTTTTCTTTTAGTTTCATCTCCCTGAGGTACACTCCCGACAAACTTGAAAACTCGCTCAACTGAAATCAATAAATAGTTCATTGTCAGAAACAGGCACATTCTTGTAATATTAAGGTTAACAGTAATGTATAAAAAATCATATGCTGTGTTTGTTGCCTGAGAGGTCCTGTTAATTCCTTGAAAGCATCATTTATTTTGGAAATTTCATGAAAATTTCAGTTCTTCAGTGATGTTCTTCTTAATTTGCTGTCAACATTGATGCTGTGTTGACAATTTTCCTAATGATTAAATGCTTTCCATGAATTTGAATTTTTACATTTTAAACATAACTGATAATTTTGAAAAAAAAGTCAAATTTAGAGGGAAACTCACACCACAATATAAAATTAATGCTTGCCAAGACTTTGATTAACCCATGTCCTATTGCAACCAAATTAGGTCACTAGTATAACACTTGTTCCTGGTAAAATCTCTGCACAGCCCCAAATCTAGTTCTTGGATAGAGAAAACAATGACAAAAACAATAGATTGCCTTTGGGAAAACAGATTTGTTTTACAATAGTACGGGGCTGTGCGGAAATTTTACCTTATTCCCTCCTAACGTCTGTCTCAGTCTTACAGGTCAGTTTATGAGATAAGATGAGAAGACACAAGAAGAGATAAGATATTTTCTTAAGATAGAACATTTTCCAAAATCTTCTCTAGAGGCAAAATATCTCTTGAATTTAACTTTAATTTTCAGCTCAGAGCTAAGACCCTCTGATACATTTTCCTCAGAAATATTACACATTCCCGAATTTAAATCTTAAGCTCGTGTTCCAGTAAAATTATGGATGGAAGGTGATTTGTTGCCAGTCTACCAGCAATGCACAACGTGGGGTCAATTCATGAGGACTCAAAAAAAAGCTTGGTTTAAGGTTCGCTTTTTATTTACGAAGAAATTACAGCATATGTAAGTTGAATTCCACATACCGGTATCAGTAGATGTTGACTCATTGTTCTTAAAATACGTAGCATCTTTTTCACAGTCTTCGTTCCTTGCAATATAGGGTTTCTTTAAGACCTGCGCGACAACTGTCAAAAATACCTCGGGTTAGATTTAATAAGGTTGAAGAAATGTGTGCCCACTTTTATAAGGAATACAGCATCCGTTAAAAGTTTCATTACCACTTGAGTTGCTCAAAGATTTGACAAGAGAGAGCTTAATTAGAACGTGTAGGAGATGAACTCACGCAGTGCATCCAGAGGATCTTCTGTTCTTTTACGTTTTATCCTCAAGACCATCGAACGATCATCCGCCGCCATCTTGACATCTTGTCTTAGAGTGCATGACGGGAAGGCGAGCATCAAACATTACTTATAGTGGAGTTTCGCAGACGCATCAGAGACCATCTCTCTAATCGCGCAAGTATTTCACTTGTCAATAAATCTAACTCAAGTTTTGTGGTGTTAGGTGAAGGCTTACAGAAGGGAAAAAACCAACCTTAGAAATTGCTGTTTTCACACTTCTTTCAGCTGGGCCCTTTTTAAAAGCTCCTTCTGGTTTTCTCGCGTTCGGCCCTACTTGTTCGTGTGGCAAGCTGTTTGGGTGTTTCGGCCTGATCGCCGCATTAGGGTATATATCTCGCATCAATCAGATTGCCGCATAAGGGTATGTATCTCGCATTAATCATATCACAGTATTTGGATATCTTGCACCAATCACAGTGTTCGGGTGTTTTTTTCTTGTAAATGATGTCATGGAATCAGGGGGGTGTGCGCAAAAATTACATTAACCTGAAATTCTGGGCTCATTTAATAAGTGTACTGGTTTGTGGCCTTCGCGAGAGCCTCATCGATTAAGGATTAAGGTCGAGATTTATCAGGATATGAAAGGTTCGCATTTAACTTTTTGTATCATTTTAAGTTTAAAACGTGTTTTCTGCTCCTTTACTCACAACACACACTTCAAACAACTTACATTTCATCACGCACCATGCAAACAACGTCCAAAGTCCAATCAGAACGTACCAAATTATAGCACTAGATAACTGTTAGGCAATTTTTCACGTGCTTGAATTGTATTTCACTAATTAAATTCCATTTTTCCACAATAGACTTATTTCCTTGTAAACAACCTGCATTTTATCATGTCTTCTTACCGCATCGTTCAACCACACTGAAAAAATTCACATGGGACCAAATGCCTCTGATAGTGAAGTTTTCACGCAATTCTCCCGCGTTTTACTTATTCTACAAGTCAAATTTGCTTTTAACTACCTTAGACTTAACCCAATCGCGTGTTAATTCCTTGTAAACCTGCATTTTAGCACATAATTCACACTCATAAGGCAAAGTCCATATAGGCAACTACCAATCAAGGAGCCCTCTTTGAAATATTATCCTTTTCCCTTGTTCAATGTATCTTCACTTATCGAGGTCGCAATACATATTTAGTTAGGGTCTATTGGAAATACAACAGAGTTTCAGTTTGCTTTTCGTATTAAAATTTGGTGGAAATACATTTTTGAGGAAACAAACTGTAGACGAATAATTTTGATTTTCTCTCTGTAAGAAGAGCGGCAGGAAGCGTAGTCCCTTTCGCAACTGTTCTTTGGTCTCGTCATGCAACGTGCTCTATCTCCAACTGGGATATACACAAATGGCGTTGAGTGACGTGACCAAACAACGGCTACGAAGGAGCATAAGCAAGCGTGGTACCGATGCATTTTATTTTCGCCCAAAAGTATTTAGAAAATAGATCATAAAATACCCGTGTGAGTTCAAATGAATTAGTATTTTTTTCCTTCTCCTAAGGTGAAGTAATACGACATTTTAGTTCTTTTGAAAGTCCTGCTCTTTTTCTGTTACAAAAATGAAAACACTAGGTATACGAAGTGTCCAACGCTACCCACCCAGCCGAAAAAAAATAACTCTTGTCTGCTACGCATGCCTATGTTTTACAATGGGGTGATTCTTTCTTCATTCCAATGAGGTTCAACATAAAAGGCTCATAACATTAACACCTTCATTAAAGTTTGTTTGTCCGAAACTTGTTAAAGTTAAAAAATAACAAATCGTATGTCGACGTATGGGAAAAATTATAAAATAAAAATTATGCAGTGTCCCCGTTACATATCTGTTTTTAATTTTTTCTTGAAGAAAATCATCTTTTAAAACCAGAGCTATTTATTCAGTCTGGTCATTTCTTAACATGTATGAATATGAATGGTATGTCTTTGCATACATTGATACGACTTTCAGTTGTGTTAGCACGGTGGTGTATTGCAAAATCAAACAAGTTCAACGCAATGACACATTGCACACACTCTGTCTTTCCACCAAACTGACTAAAGGTCTAATGAATAAAGGGGGTAAGTTTCTAAAGAAACTGCGGTGCTGCGTCGGTGGGAGAGTATAACAGGGCAATTAAGTATCATCAACTTAGTTGTTAACGTAACTTCGTCACCGTAAAGAGTTTTAAAGCTGACGTTTCGAGCGTTAGCCCTTCGTCATCGCTCCAACGAAGGGCAAACGCTCGAAACGCCAGCTTTAACACTCTTTACCGCGGCTAGTTTACGTTATCGACTCATTGGACAATAATTAATTACCCTGACTAAAGGTCTGGTTCGGCTGAGTACACTGATACAGCTATCACTCAAATAAGTACCGAGGTTCCTAGTCGGATTGCAAGATCGGTAAAACAACCTGCATTTGGTCTTCTGAGTTTGGTTTTCACCTGTTTGAGTGCGGAGGTGACTGCTGAGATCACCAGACTGGCGAAACAAATTGCCACATTGTGTTCACTGATATGGAATTTTACCTGTGTAAGTACGGAGGTGGGAAATGAGGTAACAAGAGTTTTAAAACGACTTGCCACTTTGTGTACACTGATATGGCTTTTCATCTGTATGAATACGGAGGTGCTTGGTCGGGTGGCCAGAGTTGTCAAACGACTTGCCACGTTGTGTCTACTAATATGGCTTTTCACCTGTGTAAGAGCGGAGGTGCATGATCAGGTTACCGGGCTGGTTAAACGACCTGCCACATCGTATAATGTGATATGGCTTTTCACATCTATGAGAGCGGGAGTGTATGGTCAGACTACCAGGCTGGTGAAGCGACTTGCTATATTGTATACACTGATATGGTTTTTCGACTGTGTGAGTATGGAGGTGCATGGTCAGGTTACCAGGCTAGTTAAACGACTTTTTGCCCATTGTGTGTACTCATATGGTTTTTTCACCTGTGTGAGTACGGAGGTGCATGGTCAGGTGACCAGGCTGGTTAAACGACTTTCCACATTGTGTACACTGATATGGCTTTTCACCCGTGTGAGTACGGAGGTGCATGGTCAGGTGACCAGGCTGGGTAAACGACTTTCCACATTGTGTACACTGATATGGCTTTTCACCCGTGTGAGTACGGAGGTGCATGGTCAGGTTACCAGAGCGGTTAAACGACTTTCCACATTGTGTACACTGATATGGCTTTTCACCCGTGTGAGTACGGAGGTGCATGGTCAGGCTACCAGAGTGGTTAAACGACTTTCCACATTGTGTACACTGATATGGCTTTTCACCCGTGTGAGTACGGAGGTGCATGGTCAGGCTACCAGGCTGGTTAAACGACTTTCCACATTGTGTACACTGATATGGCTTTTCACCCGTGTGAGTACGGAGGTGTATGTTCAGGCTACCAGAGCGGTTAAACGACTTTCCACATTGTGTACACTGATATGGCTTTTCACCCGTGTGAGTACGGAGGTGCATTTTCAGGTTACCAGAGCGGTTAAACGACTTTCCACATTGTGTACACTGATATGGCTTTTCACCCGTGTGAGTACGGAGGTGCATTTTCAGGTTACCAGAGCGGTTAAACGACTTTCCACATTGTGTACACTGATATGGCTTTTCACCCGTGTGAGTACGGAGGTGCCTGGTCAGGTTACCAGGCTCGGTAAACGACTTTCCACATTGTGTACACTGATATGGCTTTTCACCCGTGTGAGTACGGAGGTGCCTGGTCAGGCTACCAGGCTGGGTAAACGACTTTCCACTTTGTGTACACTTGTGTGAACTTTTACCTTCGTCGGTCCAAAGGTACTTGTTTTTAGGAAATGTCGTATTAGACGAATTTTGCTGCTCATTAGCGTGAAAACTTGTATGGCTGTTAAAATGATCCAATGACGTAAATTTCTTCTTACAAATAGTACATTGCCAGATTTTTATCTCTGTTCTTGTTGAACAATAATATTTCTTGTGTCTGAGAAGAAAGTTTATGGAGGTAAACATCTTTCCACAACCATCACATGGGTCGATAACACCTAGAAAAAAATATCAAAATGAATCTAGGTGTATAATTTGTGTGCATGCCGCCAAGCCTGACCATCGTAGCTTTTCCTTTCTTTCCATTTCGTTATCGAGGCTAAAGTTTTCCGATGTGCATGTGCGAAAACGTAAATTTTGGAACTCCCTATAAATTTACTCTTGGAATCGCACTGGTAGTAATTATTTTTTTCTAATCAAATACTCATTTTTTTAACATACTTTTTTTACTGCCTCGATCCGGATCATCAACAAGCGATATCCCCAGATCTCTGGCGTAGCTCTCTCCATACCACACTAACAGTTCTTCACCTGGATTGATTGATTTGTAAGTACGGTAGTAAATCTCGCCTCTAAACTGAAAAGCCACCATATTCTGCTCATCCTCGCAGCGAGAGCAATTTACAAACCGCATCCAGTTGCTTTGACTTTCTTCGTGTCCGTCCACGAAATGACTAAACTTACCACTTCTCACAATCTACAAAAATACAATAGAATCCGTTTCCTTACGCACGGATATTTGTCCACGGACGTTATCTGTTCCGATATGCGAACAGTTTTCCAAGAGCGAAGCTCCAGGAAAACCGTGGGCTTCGAGGGACAGATTATGTCCAGGGACAACTATACGAGCTCATTTTAGTGCCAAATGGAGGCTATTATGTTTACTATGCTTCAAATATTTTGAAATTCGCGGGAAAAATGTTAACGAACAGCTTACCGTCTACGGCATGGGATGTTCACTTTTTAGTGTTCTCTGGTACGATTTTGTGCGCTAAAAATCACCTTTCTTCTTCTTCTTCAACAACCACACAACGCTGTCCTATCTGGAAGTCTATTTTAAACTCAGAATTTTCTTAAATGGACTAAAATATTGAAAATTGGAAAAACAACACTCGGGGTATATCCTCGAACATCCCTCAGTGTTAGCTGGAATATTCGGCCATGCGATGCGTTAAGACCAATCGCACACGAGAAAAACTCATTGATGGATTGTAACTCAGTT